TCTCTCTCTCTCTCTGTCTCTGGCAGCGAGAAACGTTTTTAATTCTGGAAATGTTTTCCGATACAGGAGTATTTCGTAATCGCGTGGAGGATGGGAGAAAACAGTCCGTTAACGAGAAACGGACAGGCAGGCAATTCCGCCTTTTTTCCCCACCTTGAATTCTCAATGAAAAATTCGTTTCGTTCCCCCCCCCCTCCTCCTCCCCTCCTCCCTCCCCCTTGGAGATAAAAATCTCGAGGGCGAACAATACCTCTTAATCACAAACGAAGAATCCGACGAGCAGGCTTGGTTGAATCAACATTTCGGCAGGGCGGAGGAGGGAGGGAGGGAGGTGCATCTATTGTTCACGGCTCTCTGCTAATGGCACGCTACGCTAGAACGATCCACGGTAATTCCCTGAGATTTCGCCCGTTGCTAATCCACGCTTTCTTTCGCAAGCTTTTCCGCAGAAATTAATCGCGATAACTTTTTCATCCGCCTCGATTTTCCAACCGATTTTCCTTTCGTCCTTCTTTCTTTCCTTCTCGAAATGGCGAGAATACCGCGACCGAACTTATAAATATCATCGATATTTATAAACGGACGAGAAAAATCTGCGAACTCGAATCGGTTCACCAAGAATCTTGTTTGATCGGAGTTTAATGGAAATCGGAATGGAACAAAACGAGTCATTCCAAGTTTAATATATGTTATTTAAAAGGAAGATAGAAGAGTTCGCAAATCGAGAAAGAATTTTCTCCTTGAGAGAATGGCCAGCCATCTTTTCGACAATTTGACAAATTTTATATAAAACTAAGGTAAGGTGAGCGACAAGTTCGTCGACCCAACGTTCGCCCAATTATTCGGTAAAGGTAGGCTCGGATATAAATATAGAATGACTCAATTGGTATTGGACATTCTAAAAATATCGCGGGTTTATTCAAATAATAATTCAGAGGCGGAGAGATGGCATACCCATCCCGCGTGGGTGGGACTGACAAGATAATTATAGCGTTTGCCGCGTCTACCGCGTTCTTACGAGAGCCACTATATCACCTCGGGCTGAAAAATCACACGCACCGAGTGAAAACTGCATTCGTTGCCGTTCAACGAATTTTACGCAGCCCGCGCAATAATAAAATTTCCGAAACGACGCGCGTCGAATTACATCGTTACGTAATGTATCTTGTCACACAACTCGCTGCTCTTTTTCCAGAGAGAGAGAGAGAGAGAGAGAGAGAGAATTCGTAATAAATGTTATTAATACACCGGATGAATTTTCGAAAAGGAATTTTAATCGTCCAGTGACGATACAAATATCCGAATTCAAACAATTGTACGTATATTTGTATATTGTCAAAGTCGATAATAATTTTGTCGTAACGTGAAAACATTGTGAATATATATCGTGTAGACGATGAGTTATTACATCATAAAGATGTCATAAATCCAACCGATAGAAACTATATAACTACTGTATAACTTTGTCGTTATTTTAAGTTAACCGGTAACAAGTTATGTGCTATTGTGAATTAGAGCCAATCCAAACTGACACTTAGTGATAGTATATATGGAAATATTCGAGAAGAAACATTCTATTTCCTTCTCTTCAAACGTAAAAATCTCCAAATCCAATTCAATTTTTCAAAATAATTTCCAACAACACGCGATTCGTCCGCTGCTCCTCATCTTGATCTCGTTCGAATCATTATCATTTTCAACATTTCGATAATCAATCCCCCCTTCTTATTTTTTTTTAAAAATATGTCCTCCCTAATTCAAGCTTCTCTTTCGTCAAGAAAAAAGAAATTGCTCGACATTGCTCCAAGAGATTTTTTTCAAAATACACGCACATTTCCAACTTTCGTTGTCCAAGTCCAAGTTTTATCCGAAACGCCGGATAATTCTCTCTCGGGTTGGAGAGATATTAAATTTCCGTAATATAAAAACCGTAGTATAAAAAGTATCGACGATATATACACGTGCTATATGCACGGTTTGGAAGAGTGGTGGTGGCGGCGGACAGTGTGGTGGTTTGAATGGAAACCAGTAGTATCATAGCCTGGAATGTTTTGAAATAGCAGCATCCTCCCCTCCCCTTCCTCCTCCTCCCCACTTCTTTTCGCCGCCTCCTCGGCCGCGTTTCGCGGTCTCCACGGAAATTTTATTGCTTCTCCCCGGGGAAAAGTTTTTGGCATGGCCTCTTACAACAGAAAACAATCGCACAACTGTAAATTTAAATGAATATCATCCTCCTCCCACCCACCCCCTCCTCCAAAATGGATCGCATCCTATTCCCATTCCCCGTCACACGTTATAAATTCTTCCCGGGGCGGAAAACTTTTTCCGGGTTTGCTCCCCTCTCCTCCTCCTCCTCCTCTTCGAAATTCCTCTCTCGAAAATAAATTTACGTATAAAAACTTGCTCCTCCTCCTCCTCCTCCTTCTCCTCCTCGTTCGAACGAGAATTACGTATATCGTAATTCGCCAAACGAAACGGAACGATATACGAGTCGATTTTAGTCGGTGATCACAGTGGTATAGTCGGTGGATGGTAGTTTAGAAAACGGCCTTGAGGTGAGCCCAGCCTCGTTTCAGGCGCTCTTCTCTCACCCATTACCCGGTGCCGGCTCGCTGTGCGAATCTCGATCACTTGGCAGGAAGGGATGAGAGAGAGAGAAGGGAGAGGGAGAGGGAGAGATTCTTCACCTCCCCTTCCACTGCTCGGCTTACACTAGCCGAGCTTATAAAAGATATCCCCGGTGTGGGATATGGCCATTAGTGCGTGAGAACGAAGAAACAACCGGCGTACGGGAAGATTCCCGGGAGACATGGTCAGTCAGTTTTTATTGAATCGATTCGAAGGGGAGAGGAAGGGAGGCAGGGCGGTTTTTGTGCGACCTTGTGTGTAATACGTGCACGTGCACGCATTAATTGGGGAAGGCGCATTTCGTGTAGGATATCGAATATAATGGCAGAAAATCGGGCAGTTTGGCGGAGCGCCATAATGGGGATTCTCCCGATTCGATCGATTCCCTCCCAACCCCCCTCCCCCGATCTCTCGGCGATTGACGGGCGGAGAGAATTATTGAACGCGGAGGGGCATCCGAGGTCCGCTTCGAAAGTGTGGGGGAAGGAAGGGCGGGATATTTTTCAATATATTCGAAATTGTTGTCTGTTCCAGGATGACGAGCAAGTGAAAAGTAAGTAAGAAGTCGAAGTCGCTGAGAACGAGGCGGGATGGAATTCGCCTCATAAATAGACACCGCGCCTCGTACGCGGCGCTGGATCCTCCTCCCGTCTCTCTTCCCCGCGCGTCAACAAGTACAAGGTTTACATCTCGTCGAATGTTTAAGGTCGCGAATGTTTAATTTTTTTGGAAAACAGCTGGCCCTCCCCCTCCCAATCTTATTTGCACGCGAAACTTCAAAGAGAGTTCGATCGTCGAGACCTCGACGTGGTGGTGATGGTGGTGGTGGTGGTGGTTGTTTCGACGCGAGGATCGATTTATTGCTCGCGCTTCGAGCAACAACGGTTTAATTGTTTAAATTCTCTCTAACGTTTTCCTCGCTTGCATCTTATCCATCGCCCACGCCGAGATGCGAGTTGCGCGATCGTATCGCGTATCGAACACGGATGGAAAAAGGGAACGTGTTAAAATTCGATTCCTTGTTTTTCTTTTTTTCACAGTGTTGAGAAGAGCCTTCTCCATGTTCGATTCGACCAAGTCAGGCCGGATCGAGAAGGAAAAAGTGAGGACGATCCTCAACACCCTGGGCCACACGTTCGACGATCACGAGCTCGAGGTGTTGCTCAAACAGGAGGACGAGGAAGGTATTCCGTCCCATTGCAACCTCTTTATCTTCCCTTCTTTTCTTTTTTCCATAACGCGATCGAGTTTTACAATTTTTTCTTTTCTTTTCTTCTTTTTTTTTTTTGGAACGACTGGCTCGACGCGCTTCGATCGATCGGCTTCGTTCGCTCGACCGAACGAGGCCAAACAATAATTCATGATATAACATGAGGCCACGGAGACACCACGGGGAACCACGTGTACCGCGGAAGCCCAACGAACTACGCGCCTGCACTCCGCTTTCCCACCACCGGTGGAATACCTTTCGGTATTCATTACCGGGGCAGCGTTTAACTTTTTCCAATCAATTTTAATAGCACCGCCTATATACGTACCTAGACCTACAACCCCTATTTCCCTGGTGGCGTTTCTAAAAGATTGCTCGATGCTATGGACGTGGAAGGAAGGAAGGAAGGAATAATAAATAATCGAAAGGGAGAGAAACGTTAACGACCATTCGCTTCCTTTATCATCGGGGAAGGGAGGTGTTCTCGAGAAGAAAGAAACCACGTCGCGTCGCTCGAAGGAAGATTGGATCGGTTACTGCGAATAAGTTATTCGCTTTCACTCGAAGAAAAACACGGTTGCACGAGGAGCCTGGGTGCATCAATGTTGGGGGAAAGGAAGTCGGCGATCGAGGAAAACAATGGATTCCATGTTGATCGGACATGATCGGTTCCAGGTTGCATTATTATGCAGATATCGTCCGCGTACCGTATCGATCCAACCACGTCCCATTTATTACATAGATTTCGTAATTTTTCGCCTATCCCTTCGAACAGAATCGATTAATACCGCGATCGAGACGATATTTTCCACGACCGATATAAATTTCAAATTTATTCCCGGGGAGGAGGAGGTGTATCCTTTTTTGGACGCGTACCAAGCGTATATCGTCTCTAGGATATTTTTCTCCACCGGCAAAAAGCGAGAGACTCGAGGCGAGGCGAGAGGTGAACTTGTTTACATTGTCCTCCATTTCCCTTTTTTCCTTCTTCTTCTTCTTCTTCTTCTTCCTCTTGTTTTCTTGAATCGTTGCGCTTTCAGGAAGCGGCAAATTAAATTTCGACTCGTTCTATCGGGTCGCCTGCCACTTCCAAGAGGAGGACGACGAGGCCCTGCAGAAGGAGCTGAAAGAGGCTTTCAGGCTTTACGACAAGGAGGGGAACGGTTACATTCCAACCAGCTCTCTCAGGGAGATCCTCGCTGCCCTCGACGACCAGATAACGCCCGATCAAATGGACGGCATGATCGCTGAAATCGACACAGACGGATCCGGCACCGTCGACTTTGACGGTATCTCATAACGTTTACGACTGCTCGACGTGGAAAAGTTAAGGGGGGAGGGGAATTTTTCGCTCGATCGAACCTCCTGTTTTCCAGAGTTTTCTTCAAAAAAAGAAAAAAAAAAATCTTCGAGAAGGCCAAACGACGGATTAAAGAAGACGGCCTGTTTACTTGCGCGAAATGAAAAGGGTTGTAATGTGACGAGATCTCGAGACGATATTCTTATCAGTCTTATCATTCGGAGAGATATTGAAGACTTTTTTTCTTTTTTTTCCTAATCGAAGAATCATTCATTATTCGCATTCTTTCCCACGGAGAATCGATCGTATCGTATCATCTAATAAGCTATTTTCTGGACGATGTGTGAACATCCTTACTTGTATAGATAGAGAATAAAATTTATCGATCCAACTTCTCCTTTTTCGTTCTTTAATTAATCTTCTGGTTAATTCTTCTGTTGCAGAATTCATGGAGATGATGACCGGCGATTAAAAACGATCGACCATGGGGATTCTTCATCAGTGTCGTGATGGCTGGCATCTCTATTATCCTTATCGATCGTGGACCAAGGTTGGCTTTCTTTTTGAAATTCCTTCATTCCAACCGAGCGCGCAAATCTATTCATTTGGATGTAAGAACAAGAACAAGAAGGATCCACTCGACAGTGTGTCTCGTTCGACAGTTATTTCTCTTACACGTTCGATTGTAACGAAATCATCGGATAAATTAAACTCTGTTAGATGGTTTCAAAAAACAATTCCCCATAGTTTCCCGTTCGCGTATTTTTTCGCGTTAAAGCGAGGCCAAAGCAAGCACAAAAGTTGGAATAATATCTAATATCATTAAGTTATGCGAAGAATTATTTATAAAATATTGATAAAAACTGTAAGATATTCGCGTCACGAGATACGAAAGCAATTCGTGAAGAAATATTACGCCTTCCGATTATTACCGATCTCGAGGAAAATTGGCGAAACAAACGCCAATAAAATTCTCGCTTTCGTTCTCTTCTCGTAACTCAAACGTTACGTGTCACGTTAGAAATCGCTCGAAAGCTCGTACGTGTCCCCTCATTCCTGGCGGAAATCGGCCGAATCCCGATCCGTTGAATCCCAAGTTTTCAAGTCGAAACCGGCTCGGTACAGCGCCCAATATAACAATTTCCTCGCACGGGATATTAATCCCATCGAATTCCGCTTCGAAGGCCGGCTCATTCGATCGGCTCGGCCATCGACTCGAGGCCTCTGACGTTTTAACATCAAATTATCGAGGCTATGCAACGAACGCAGACCTGATTCTTCTTGGAAGCTCGAATTTAAAAAAAAAAAATTCCAAACGCCTCGAAATCCCGAAGGAGAGGATGGACGAGGCGAAAAGGGAGGGGAGAAACACCCCTTCCTTCCTTCCCTTCTGCTCCTCTTCCGTCCAGGATATCGCCCTCCCCTCGGCCTGGCCCCGGCCGTTTCACCCACTCAAGTTTCGTCCGAGTGTTTGCGGCCGAGACCCGGAAGCCGCTTCCAAAGGATCAATAATTGGGGCCGAGTGCAACCGCCCTTGAAAACCTATACCTCCCTCGTGCACGTCGAATCCCCGCTTCGAGGAATCTTTAAAAAAAAAGAAAAAAATCTCGAAAAGCGACGAGATTCAGTGGAATGGACAGAGTTCTCGAGGCAAAAGAGGGAAGAAGAAAAGCCCGTTGGTCGCAATTTCGTGTGCGAAGCAATCATCGTCGGTTAAATCGGGATGGAGCATTCCTCGAAGGGGCAGGAAGACAATTGTTGGGACCAGGCGCGGAATAAACGACCTTGGGACGTGTCACTGTCCGCACCTGGGGGCGGAGGGAATACCGATTAATAATTGAGCAACGATCGCGACAACGGAGGGAGGGTGCAGCCCAGGGGTATCGATCTTCTCAAGACCAGACCGACCCCCTCTGTGTCTCTCTTTTCCCTAGCTTCAACGCTCAAAGACACTCTCTTAGCCGCGACCAGCTTTTACTACCACACTCGTGGAAGGGTGCTGCTCCCCGCTCGAGATGCCGTTCACCCGCCATTTTCCTCTTAATCCTTTTGAGATGCCTTTTTCGCTCCATTTCATCCCCCTTGAAAAGGAGGGCCTCCGTTCGCGAAAATGATTCTCGATTCGAAATTATCGTCGTCCCGTGTTTCATCGAGTGGAAGGAATTCCTCACAGGAAACGACAGATGGAACGTGGGTGGAGGAATCGTGAAACGGCAGCATTCCGAAATTTTTTTCTCTTCGACGAGAAAAGGAAGGCGTAATGTAAAAGGAAAATAATGCAATATACGAACCGGTTAAAAGCTCGCCACGGATACCTTTCGATCCGTGAAACGATCCAATTCCACAGTTCGAATAATGGAAATCAATACGAAATCAGCCAGCCAACCGGGAAAAAGAGTCTAAGATTATTTTATCCTCTGTTCCGACGAAAAAGGGGTGTACCTATTTTCTTCAGGTGGTCCTGCGAGGATTCGACAGAGGATCGAAAAAGCGCAGCCGTGGCACCACGCCCCACTCGCATTGCAGTCCAGTCTGCCCTCTGAACGACAAAACGTTTTCTCGTTAAACAGCTCGCGTAATTAATACGCAAAAGAATATTACGCGGAGGAACCGAATGAAATATTCGAGGCGAGGATAAATCGTTATTGTTCTGTTCGAAGAGGAGAAGGGGAAAAAAAAAAAAAAGAAAAAAAGGAAAGAAAGTCGCGATTGCTTCCGCCACGTTTCCATTTCCGGAATTGGAAACTCTTCGAAAACCTTTTCCTTGCAATTCGAACACGCCACCTATCCAGCCATCATCCGTGCGATTCGTACTTACCGTTGCTCCGTACTTCGTTTCGAGAAGAGAAAAAGAATCGGAAGAGAGAAAGATTAAGAAAGTGAGTAGATGGGCGCGAGAAGAGTAGATTTAAAGAAAGGCAGGCTGGGAGTCGAGTCATGCAAAAGTTCTACTATCGTGTTCGGTGTGCGTGTGGGCGGGGGTGGCATGCTTCATTCCTGTGGGAAGACAAAAGAACTGTTGGACGCATGCACTACGTGTACTACCATTTCGTGTACATTTTCTTCTTTCCCCCCTCTTCGATAAAAATCGAGACCGTCGTAATCCTAATTCGTCTTCGCGTTTAATGGAATCGAGGCGAGAGATTCGATACGTCTCTCTCTCTCTCTCTCTCTCTCTCGTCTCTTCTCGACGTAATCCCAAATGAAATCGAACAATCTACGCATCTACGCAAATGTCATCATCGATGTTACGTCTAGATTCTAAGTGTCTAGCTACTAGTTCCAGCTAATGTAGCTAGTTATCGTTAACTAATTTCTCGGCTATATGTATTGGTATTATGTCATTTTCTCATATGTACCTGGCTCAGGCTTCTAAAGCTACTTGTACTGGCGCTGCGGGCCTGTAAACACAAGTACAGTACAGGTCACCAATCACCACACCACACTGCAGTTGGAAAAGAGTGATCACAAATATGAAGAATATGGAATATATATATCGTACACAAGAATAAAAGGTGGTGGTACACGTAACACGGGCATGTAATAATAATAACCTCTGTATAGTATAGGGTGAAAGTGGTGACTGTCGTAATCTGTCTCAATTAGTTTGACAAATAACAGCTTAGACAGGGAGGGAGGGAGGGGGCAGGAAAAAACATAACTGTCACTGTGGGCAAGAATCATTGGACTGACGATGCCAGCGAAGAAGATCTTCGTGGATCTCTAACAATTCATTCTTAAGAATTCTCTCTCTCTCTCTCTCTCTCTCTCTCTCTCTCTCTCTCTCTCTCTCTCTCTCTCTCG